ATCTGGGTCCTATTTCAATTGTCCACAGAATCTGCATTTTGTGCACAGAACGCAGATTCTCTGGAAATTGTTTCAATTAAATTCTGCGTACGCAGATTCTGTGGTGTTCGCAGATTCTGCTACAAAAATTAACTGGAATAACCATCTAACTTTTTTGTTAGAAATCGAATGGTTTTTATGTTCTAATATCACATGTCTAAAATATTATACTTGACTTTTAATAATTTAAACAAATAAATATTTATTACGTTATTTAGCCTAAATATTCGACATATAAAGATGCTGGCGTTATATTTGAATTTCTTTTGCCAGCAATTATTGGGGCATCTTTTGGATTTATTGGAATATTATCTAATTTTAGTGTTTGCTATATAACTATAAAATACAAGTAATTAATAAAACTAGAAACCGGACTGGGAGTGTAGTAGGAGAATCATAGGAGATATCTCAGAAAATCTCGAAACTCTGAAACATTTTTTGGAGATTTTGAAATATTTTTAAAATTTAAATTTAGCATCAGGGAGATATCTAGAATCAAGAAGAAGTATTAGTAATATATACCACGATATCTCACGATCCTCGGATATCCTATTATTTCCAAACCCCCATAATCCCACGATATCTCGTAATCCAACAAACCCTTTTCTATTTTCTAAAATTTCGCATCTCCTACGAGATATATTCCGGATTTTCGTTAGAAATCTCGTCTAAATCCGGTCTCTTTAAATAAAACTAAATATATAATTTATAAATAAATATTCAGAAAAAAATATAATGCACTTAGAAGCAACACAGCCATTCTGTTAACAGCAAACTCGTTTTTTGAAATTCTCAATTTGTCTGGTCTTTTCCTAACTTTAGCAGTTACAGCAAGCGGAATTAACATAATTCCTTATGGAACAGCTGTTTATTTACAATCTCATTCATTTATTGGATTCTTTTCTGCTATTTTTACAATTACATCTCTTAGTTTTGACCGATTTTTGGCTGTAGCATTTCCAATTTAGTAGGAATTTTGATAAAAAAAATCTCTCAGCATCCATTTTATCGAACTAACAAAGGAGAGTGCCTGAAGTATCCGTGGGACTTCGGGATGGAATTTGGTAGACAGATAGATTATACCCTACTTTAGTTGTCAGATTTGCACCATTTTCGCTGCGGGGTACCATGGACCAAGTTATAATCCCCCAAAGTTTTAAAATCCCCCACAGTTTACTTTTCTACATAAGTATAAACAATTTCTTTTTAAATGTGTCATTCGGTGGTGCAATGGTAGTGTTCTTCTATTTATTTTTCCCCCGAGTTCGAATCCTTATTGGAGAAATCAAAACTAAAGTAGGGTATAATCTATCTGTATACCAAATTTCATCTCGAAGTCCCACGGAACCTCAGGCTCTCTCCTTTGTAAGGGGAACTTTTAGGTGGATGCTGAAAGACACATTTCAACAAGTTTACAACTAATTTATACCAAATTTTAGCTACAAAACCATTAACCAAAAACTATATATTCGTGGCCACTTTGCTACTGTGTTCATTTTTATATTTTATATAATATTTCTTATTATAAAGTCAGCCATTAATTTTGGTGATTGGCCAGTAAATGGAGGTCGTAGTGATTATTTTAGAATATTAACTAATGACAATATTCTATCTTCATTTATTTATATTTTGTTTGTTCCAGCTATAGTTTTATATGGTCTTGTTGGCCTGATTTTAATATTTAAAAAGGGTAATTTATTTTTGGTTGGGTCCCTTTTCGCTTTACAAAATCATAACAGAAGTTAAGATAGAGTGCCTTTATCCTACCTTATTTTGAAAATTTTTAATTATGTTATGTCCTAGGGTGCTGTTTAAAGAATTGAATAAACTTTTATCCGAATGGGAAATACAAAAATAGGCGAGAATAACTAAGGACACGCGGCGACAGTCGGATCAGATGCCAACCAAAAATGATCACTACTGACTGCTTTTGTACTATACCCACACATACCTAACACTAACCGGAGCTGTTAATTCCTCAGCTCTGTTTTGGCTATTCTTCCGCCTTCCGTGCTCCGTTTTTAATTTTGTTCCACCTTTTAAAAATTAGTTTGTAACAACCCTGATAATTCAATTTTTTATTTTTTAGTTACTGATGACGAGAAAATGAGAAAAGTATATCGCTCATTGTTTTTGATTGTATTTTTCAATATTGGAGGATATTTTTTTTCTTTGTTGATAGGCGTTTACATTATTAACCCTCTTGGGGCTGCCGATCCATTACATGCTCAGTTATATATAATGTTTGGAGCATTAATTCTTAACATTGCGGGGTCTTCTAATGCTCCAATTCTTTACATAAATAGGTCTTTTATTTGTAAAATAGAACATTTTTAGGTACTATCGCATTATATCCCCCCATCGTCCCAAATGTTTGTCCGCAAAGTTTGTCTTATCAGAGGTAAAGTTGTTGGTTTCAAATCGAACCAAAAACCCAAGATTTTCAGTCATTTTGTGGTTAACCGAAGAATTTAGTCAAACAGGCAAACCCATTCAGAGGGCCAACTCTTAAAATTAGAAATATTTAATGACTGAAAACATTTAAGAAACAAATTTAAAAATGCTGTCTTTCCTGTAAAAATTGCCTTATTTAAATTAATCTTTTACCGTTTTTAATCATTAGAAGAGGAGAAAAAGGAGAAGGCAAGACAAACTTTGGCGGTAAACATTTGCGGACTATCGGGGGATACAATGCGATATTACCCACTTTTATTCAAAAAATTTCAGTACCGACTATAAAGAGGCTTATAAAAAGGAATTCTATTTAATAATAAAATATTCAAAGAAATTGCTAAATATAGAACAACAAACTACTACAACTTCAAGTGTTGTTGTATTGCAAAGAGGAAATTGGACAGGAAACACTGGGCATTAAATATTTTTATTGGCTAAAAGTTTAATTAACTAAGAAGCTATTGTTCTGTATATACAAAGTCCAGAAAATTTCATATATTTTGGATATCAATGGAACTGTTCTTTCTTAAATAAAAGATTTAATATTAGCCCCCTCCTTCCTCTATTAGAACACCACCACCTTCTAGTACAATGCCTCTTCGAAATGTATTTGGAAAATATGCTGTGGCATTTTATTTGGAGGATCCTTAAACCAGATTTCTTCCTCTCAAGTTCCCCGACTTTCGGGGACGGTGTACAAAACCTACTCAGAAATTTATTGAATTATATTTAATTAATTTTGCCAACAACAAAATAAAATTTTTTTAATTTTTCGTTTTTTTGTTTTTTACTAACTTTTTTCGATTTTTCTAACTTACATCTTTTTGTTTTCTTCCAAATTTCTTCTAACTTTCTTTTAAACAAATTAAACTAAAACTATTTTCTTTTTTCTAAATATTTAAAATAAATTAATATTTAATTTATGTTTTCAATAGTAAAGACCAAATATTAAGGGACTAATTGAGCTTTTTCTAAATCCGCTTATATCCCTAGATATACACTTTACTCACTTCAAAGTCCCTTATATCCTTTTAATCCCTCCTTATACTCACTAATTTTTGTATAAATTAACGAAAATAGACCGAAGCATTTTATTTTCTCTTTTACTTCAAAAATTTTCCCTTAACCCTAACTATCTAAATTTTATAATAGCTTTATCTGATAGTTTTTCTTAATAAAATAATATCGAATTAAATTTAAATCAATTTTGCCAACAATTAAAAAAATTTTTTTAATTTTTAAATTTATTTTTTCTATTTCTAAAACACGTAAAAATAAATTTGAAATTAATTTTAATATTTAATCCACGTTTTCAACGGTTAATTAAACAATTATACCCCCTCATAGATGAAGTTTAAAGGAAAAAACTTCTCCAATTTAAAAATTCAAAAACCCTTTCACATAAAAAGAATTTTTTTGAATTTAAGTATTATGGATTACAATTGAGTAAATAAATAGATCTATACCACCGAATATATTTTAATGTATATTTAAACAATTTAAATTTCCCTCTATTCTCAAAAAAATATTTTAATTTTAAATTTAAATTCCAAAAAAAGAAAAAATGTTTTCTATGAAATCAATTTATTTAATAATATTTTCCTTACTGTTTTTGGCTGGCAATATTGTATGTCATAGTGGTCCTTCAAATGAACCTCCATGTCATGTTGATCCAAATGGGCAAGAATGCAAGGACTGTCTTAAACATCAAAATCCTCGTCACTGTTAGTAACTTGAAAAAATCTACTAAATGGAAGTGTATGGAAACAAAGGGAAATAATTAAAATATATTTTAATTGTGATTTTGGGGTTATTTTTTAAATAAAGGGAAATTAACGAAAAACAAATGGGCATATTAACTGATATTAAATAATTATTCTTTTTTCAATAAATTTCCAAAATTGTATAAAATTTGGAGAATTTATTTTTTATTTTGAATGCCATCCTATTCTAGCGTAGAGCTCCCTAAAAAGTAAATTTATGGCTAAGTCGTAGGCGAAGTCTTTTAACGAGTTAGTCGCTAAGCTTATATAAAAGTATATGAGGACTGTTTGCTGTTGTTGTGGGGGGAATAATTGGAGTTGGAAGTCGTAATCAGGAGTCATACATCACCAAAATTTAGGGAAATCCGACAAATTTATCGTGATTTATTCGAAAATTCTCGTTATTTCAATGTATTTAATTAAATCAATTTTTCCAATAATAAAAAAATTTATATCGTTTAATTTATTTTATTTTTTCTAAATTAACTGCCCAAATCGTTCATTTGACTCTCGAATTTCTTAGAATTATCCTTAATTTCAATGATCCCTAGATATCAAATCACTCAGAAAGGACAAAAGTGAAATATTTACGATATTTTAAATGGCACTCAAACGGAGGTTGTTGGGAAGTTGCGACGGTAAAGGTCGCTTCAGTTCAGTCATTATTTGCAGTCATTATTTGTCGGGGTTTTGTGGGTTTTTCCGAATTTCTACAAAATTTTTAAAATTTATTTTTATACATAGATGTTGCTCAACAAAATTTTTTCATTTTATACTTCTCGTTTAAATATCAAAAACATTTTTGCGTTTAAAAATTTATCATCAAATGTTATTTCGAGTAAAGCAAATTTTTCACATCAGCCAAATGTAAAATCAAATATTATTGATTCTGGATATAAATTAACTACATTACCTTCTGGTTTTCGTGTTGCCTCAGAAACTTTGAAAATGTCAACAGCAACGGTTTTTGTAATTTTATTTTGTTAGAATATGTTAGGGGGGGGGGGGTTGAGAAAATTAAATTTTTTCTAAATAAATTCCCCCCCCCCCCTCCGAATGGGGAAACGGAAGAAATTTTTGGATTTTGGGAGGGGGTTGATGAAAAAATTAAAAAAATCCTGTTTTTTCATCTATTTTAATTTTCAGGTAGGAGTTTGGATTGATGCTGGCAGTCGTTACGAGGATGAAAATAACAGCGGAGTTGCTCATTTTCTTGAACATATGGCTTTTAAGGTTTAAAAAACCAATTGTAAAACGCCAATATTTTTAAGGGAACAAAGAAAAGAACTCAACACCAATTAGAATTGGAAGTAGAGGATATGGGGGCACATTTAAATGCTTACACTTCGAGAGTATTTTTTTCTTTTCAATTAAAGTTTTTTTTCATTTTTTAAGGAACATACTGTTTATTACGCAAAATGTTTATCTTCTGATTTGGAGAAATGTTTTTACTTTTAATTTTTTGAAAAAATTTTTTTTGAAATTTTTTTAGCTGTTGAGATTCTTTCTGACATTTTATTGAGAAGTGTTTATGACGAAGGGGCAATTTATAGAGAACAACAAGTAATTCTTAGAGAGGCTGAATCGATTGAACAAAATGTACAAGAAGTTGTGTTTGATCATTTACATGCAAATGCTTTTGCTGGATCGCCTCTTGAAAGAACTATTTTGGGAACTAACCAAAATATTAAGTAAAATTTTTTTAATTTTTAAAGAATAAATTTTTTGAGATTGGAAAACATTTGTGTGTAAATTTAGTAGAAAATTTTCTCGAAAAGTTGTTAACTTAAACTTTGGTTCTAAAAATTTTTTGCCGTTTATGGGGGATTTAACGGGAGAGGGTTCAAGCCGGGAATTAATGCTTTATAAGTAAAAATTTTCCAAGATAAAAATTGGGGGAATTTAAAAGATTTATTTGTTTCTCTTCCGAAAATTTATTATTTTTTACTTTTATTTTCTTAATTTTTAAATTTGTTTTTTTTTCTAATTAAAAAAAATTTTTTTTATCATTCCAGAAACATGACAAGAGATCATTTAATTGATTATGTCAAAAAATATTACAAAGGCCCGAGAATGGTATTAACCGCTGCTGGAGGAGTTGACCATGATTATTTGGTGGAACTTGGAAAGAAATATTTTGGGAATATAGAAAGAGGGGATGAACACGTACTTGATTATGAACGGGGGACTTTTAAGCAATCGACAGTTTGGAATTTTTAATTTTTAAATTAATTTTTGTAGAAAACTATTGAAAACCCTGAAATGAAAATGACTTATGGAACTTTGGCTGTAGAGGGAACAAGTTGGACTAATCCTGATAATGTTGCTATACAAGTGGCGAATACTGTTAGGTTTTCTCAGAGATAAAAATTTTATTTTTTGATAGCTGGGATAAAATGTCATTTTTTGCTTAAAACGTTTTGTTTGGGAAAGGATGGGGTTTTCGAACTCTAAAATTTTATTAAACAAAATCAAGAAATTCTGAGATCCAAATTTTGTTAAAGATGTTTTGTTTGTTTCCATCCTCGTTTCCATCCAATGGGTCAACTTCCTAATTTTGTCATTTTAACTAAAAATTTTCGACAAATAAAATTTTTTTAATTTTAAAAATCAATTTTTTTTAGATGATTGGACAATATGACAGAACTCAAAGTATTGGTATACTTGGAAGCTCAACTCTAGCAACTTCACTTGGTCATGATTCTGGTGTTGAATCATTTATGGCCTACACGGTTTTTTTTTAAATTTTAGAATGAAATTCAATTTTTTTAGACTTCTTATAAAGACGTCGGTCTAACTGGTATTTATTTTTGTGCTGAGCCCCGTGCACTAGAAAATCTTGTTAAATGTGTTTGTAATGAATGGAGGTCATTGTCCGGTGATATAAATGTTGATAGTTTAGAGAGGGCGAAATCTTCTTTGTTAACAAATTGTGCATTAATTTTGGATGGATCAACAGCTGTTTGTGAGGATATTGGAAGGTTTTTAAATTTTCTAAAAAAATCGGAAAAAATTTTTAAACTTGATAAGAAATTGAATTAGGAAGGGAATTTACTTATAATGAATCAGTGCTTCCCCAAATATTTTATTTGGGTTCAAAACCTCAATTTTATACACAATCGAATCAAAATGATATGAAACTAAAAAGTTGTTTATTATAATGAGGGGCTGGCTCGTAACCAGGATTTTTTCGGGAGGGCCAAGGGGGAAACTTTTGATTTTACTACCGCAGGCGAAAATTTTAGTTAGGAGCCTGATTAGGGGAATTTCTTTTTATCAAAAATAATTAATTTTTAAAATTTTTCTTTTATTTTTCATTGTTAAATTTTAGGCAAATTTTAATTTATGGTAAAAGATTGAATGTTGAAGAATTGGCCGAAGAAATTAATGTATTTTTAAATATTTTTTTAACATTTTTTTTTGAATTTTTAAAGTCAGTCACGCCTGATACAATTAGATCAATTGGTGAACGCTATTATTTGAACAAACCGTTTTCGTATGTTGTTGTTGGTTTGTTATTTTTTATTTTTCAAAATTTTTAATAAGGGGTTTTTAAATTTTAATAATCCCTTTTCTTTCTACCCTTCTCCTCTCCCACCATTCTCCACTTTTTTTTCTTAAATTAAAATTGAATTTAGGAATTCTTTTAATAATTGAAGTTTACCGCCAAAGGTTAGAGGGGCTTTCATTTTCATGTCATCGTTCCTAATTTTTAAATTATTATATTCCATCATATTTTTGATAATTTCTCCCATGTAGATTAAATTAAAAAGGTCAAAAACTCCATTTCCAAAAAGATTAAAAGAATGTTAAGAAAGAATATTAATTTCATTCAAAAGTTAAGACATTATATAGATTAGGAAAAGAGCGGGGACTGGGTTTTGGAACACATTAAAATATCCCTAAATTAAAGGAAACACTAGTAATTGGCCGAGTGGACAGAAAATTAAAAAGATGCTGAGCAAGCCATAAAATTTATATTTAATTTTAAAATTTTGACCATTAAAAATGTTTTTGTTGTTTAATTAACTATAAATTTTTTTTTTAAATTTTAATGGATGTCCTCGTTTGAACTTTATTATTAAAGTTCACAAATGTTTGATTAACAAAGCTGTCAGGTTCAAAAAAATTTCTTTTTGTCATTTTTTAACTTTTAGACAATTTTTGTTGTGTTTAATTTAGATTTAAGGAAAGACAAGGTTGTTGGACATTAGAGTCTGAGGTTTTCAGCTTATTAGTGTTTTAGATTTTGTTAGAGAGGAGCTAGAACTTTACAGAATAACTTTAAATTCTACATATAAACGACCCAGGAAACCGGAAAATTTTGGTATAATTAAACAGCCAAAGGGTTAATTTAATTGTGTTGTTAGTTATGTAAGTAGAAGAATCTGGGAGGAAATGAGCATGTAATTAGGGGGTGAATAAGAAAGCCGACTTAACCTAAGATTTCGAAATTTTTCACCTGATTAGCTGTTCCGTAACGTTTCCTGGTGTTTTGAAGGTATTTTTTACTTTTAACTGAACAATTAAAGAACAAAATATCGGGAGCATTCTTTTAAGGAATTTTGTTAGGAATTTTCAAAAAAATATGTAGGATTTTTTTGGTTGATCCAGAATTTTAGTCAACGTAGTCATTGTTAGGTGAAAAGAAGGGAAAGGGAGAGGCAGACTTGTTACTCTTTTATTGATTCTTTTCTCTCTCTCCATACGACTACCTCTCTCTCTCTCTCTTTATAATCCATACACATTCCACTTTTTTATTCACTGACACAGACTTTCTCTCTCTTCTCTAACAAGCACACCACAGCACTAAAATTCTTTTGAAAATGCGGAGTGGGAAGAACAACACTACACAAAATAATAAAAAAAGCTCCGCCCCACAAAGCCCTATATAAACGAAGCGATGGAGGCCTCAACTTTCAGACTTGCTTTCTTTCATTTGGAAAAGAGAGCGCTTTGGCGACTGTGAAAGGCGCACAGCAAGCCTTACCAAACAGTCGTCTAAGCGCTTCACCAACCACACATTTTGTTTTCAGGCTTGTCTATTTTTACTTGTGAGTGGGCATTGTGAAAGTGATTTTTTGGTACCATTGGATATAGCACCCCTGAGTTTCTATTGGAAAGTGGTGCAGGTATTTTTGTAAAAGTCCCCAAAATTTCATCCCTGGAAGCGGGTTGTTAGAGGCTCATCCGCTTTGAGACTCGATTGTACCTTTTTGGGGTGGGGTGGTAAAGAATGAAAGAAAAAAACTAAAGGATAAAGAATAGTAGTTTGAAAAAAGGGAGAGAAAAGAAAAAAGAAGTAGAACAAATGAAGTTATAGAATCCTAAGCAGGTGCAGCCTTTAACAGTCCTAGGCAAGAGGGACGAGGGAGGGGCACGTCGTGCCAAGTTACTGACCTAATGGAATTTGAGTCTTATCATAGGGAGACGCTAAGACTCAACCGTTCTGTAAAAAACGGTTGAGTCTCGAAGTTGATGGCCACTGACCTCATAATCTTTTACAAAAAAATCGGTATCACTTCCAATGGAAACGTATCCATTGTATCAATATTTAATTTCATAGTAACAATATAGAGAAATGTAGTCAAAAATTATTTAAATTCATTTTGTATCTCTTCAATCACATTGTTTTTTAAATTTTTGTTTTTCTGTTAAATAAAAGAAAATTGAATTAACGTTGAAAATAATTATTTGAGAAAAATATTTTTTTAATTTTAAATGTTAAATTATATTTCAAAAAACTATTTTTGTTTTGTTAAAAATTAAAATTTAAAAAATCATTTGTGTTTTGCCAAGAAAAATAAATTATTTAACAAAATAAAATTATTAGCTAAAAAATAGATGTTGAAATTAAGTTTTAAAGTGGATATTAATCAAAAAATAGTATGAGGGTCAATTGAGTATCGTGTTAGAATTTCATAGGCTCTTCTGTCGATGTAAATTTCCTTGACATTTCGAAATATTTACTAGTCCCCCCACTCAAACTGATCGATCTAAATCTAATGATTATCATTTAATCAAAGTACAATTTTTAATGATTGAGTTGGATAAGTCAAGTTTTACCCCAGCTCGCTTACGTCCCTGCTTACTGATACGCAAAACTTTAATGCAGAAAAGGTTTTGGTGATTGAGCCGATTTTGATCTACTCTAATTTTTTAAGCTTGATCAAATCCGAATAAATCTTATATCATTTGAAAGCCCTCAATAAGCCCAATCTTTTTCCATTCCTAACTTGATGGATCAAGTCTGATCACTAGTTAGAAAATTACAAGTCGATAAGTGCAAGAAATCGTTGTTTTTCATACTTAACGACTTGTAGCTTTTTAAAGAGCGATCAGACTTGATCCATCAAAATGGAAAAAAGATAGTGTTATCGAGGGCTTTCGAACGATATATGATTCATTTGTATTGATCAAGCAGCAAAAAATTATAGCCGATCAAATTAGGCTGACGCTTAACCGGCCACGCTCAACTGACCCCAACCCAGAAAAAGGCATTTTTATGTCGTATTTTTTTTAATTTGGATCAGGTTTCGTATAGCCCGAACCATCCCTGCTGTGCATTCCTAAATGAATTCGAATCATTACCGCGATAAGTTAAAATAAAACTGAAAACTTACATTTTTCTTGGCAAAACCATTAAAGAATTATAAAAAATGCTTTTAAAGCAACGTAGAAAATTTAAAAAGAAAAATGATTTCGTAATAAGGCCAGACAAAGCAAAGAATATTTTTTCCCTTTTGACATTTTGTCCTTTTATACTATTTAGTTATTTGAGTATAGACAATTGAGTCTAATTGTCTTTTCTTCTTTCTCGATTAAGTACGTATATCTTTGTGAAATTTTTTTGAATAAAGTTTGGGATGGAATTTTATTTTTAATAAAAAAATTTTTTTTTCTATAATGAGGGGGTTAAAAGAGAATTTTAATTTTCTTTCTTTTTTAAGAGTTAATAATTAATATATTGACTCATGAGAACTGATGAAGATCGGGTTCAACCTTTACAACCTTTAACGCTCAAATTAAAACGTTCAGCAAGTGGAATACAGAGGCTGGCGACTACAACTTTAACTCCACCTTTACATATAAAACCCTCGTCCACTTCTGCTTTTCCAACAACTTCTGCACTTAAATCAACGGCAGGGACTTCGAATAATTGTTCACCTTCTGTTTGTTTTTTCTTTTATTTTTTAAACATTTATGGATAGTTTTGGGATTTTATGAATGGGTGAAAGATTCTTTTCTTCCCCTTTTTGCCAATTCCTTTCCTCGTATTTTTGGCCTGTTCATGTCAGAAGGCAAGAGTTCCTCGAGTCCTCTCAATTGTTGAGATGACTCAGGATTTTTTTCTTTCCCATTTTGTCATGATTTTCTCACCCTTAAATTTTCCACTGGATTTTAAAATTTATTTTTTAAGAGTGTACAAGCAGCTCGAAAAAGTGTGCAATCTACAGCAGAATTGGTTGCCCAGATTAGCGAACAATTACAACATTATGGTACTATTTTTGATACATCAACTTTGGCTTCTAATAGTAATAACAATATTAAAGAGACAAATAAACAACAATTACATTTACAGGTTTTTTTTAAATATAATAGGATTATTTATGGTTTTTATAGTAGTCTGTTTTGTAATTCGGTGATTGGGGTTTCCGTGTCCATATCTGAACTATTTTAATTTTTCCTAGAACTAGGGTCTGATAAAAGAATCTTGGGATCCGGGCACATTATTTTTAAAAAGTTTTGATTACCTGAACAAAGCTGGTCCGAATGAAATTTCTCGAAAAATAAGTAAAGTTGAAAGCTCAGATTTTCTTTTGAATAATTTTTCTTGAAATTCTTTTAAAATTCCAACAATTTTTAGAGAAATGCCAATTCATTGTCTTCTTTGCCAGAAAATGATGTTGAAATTGTTAGTGAATCCACAGCTAAAAAGCGGCGTGGTAAAATGTCTGATCAAATTCAAAACCACTCTCAAGACATTGAGTTGTTGAATGGCAGACATAAAACAGGTGTTTGAAGAGGAAAAAAATTTTTTTTGAAATTTGCAACGTTGCAAATTTAAAAAAATTCCAAAAAACTTCCAAAAAATTTTCTAAAAATTTTTAGAAAATTTTTTGGAAATTTTTTCATAATTTTTAGAAAATGCTGTAAATAATAAAAAAGAAGGAAAGAAGAAACGTGGTCGACCTAAAATGACAGAAACGGGTATTTATTTAAATAATTTAAATGATGGAATGAATGAAAGGTCAACAATTACTAAAACTTTAAAGTCTTCAAAGGAAGTTGGCAATACTCAAAAATTTAATTGGTTTGTTTCTTTTTTTAATAATTTTTTCTAAAAATTATCCTTCATTATTTTTAATTTTTTTAATGATAAAATGTTTTTATGTTTCCTTTTTTTATTTAATTTTTGGGTATATCCACCCATATCGGGACAAATACTCCAACAAAACACCGTCCACGCACTAAAGGAAAAAATATTCCATTTCGCTTAGAGTAGAAAAATTTTAAAATTTTTTAGGGGTAGAAGTATATTACTAATAGGGTTGCCGTTTTCGATTCGAGCCGACGTTCGGTGCATTTTTTCGAGCTTGGTTTTTCCGATTCGGCTCGCTTTATCTTTCGAGTTTCGGTTCGAGCGAGCTGGCAACCCTAATTACTAACCATGACCCAATAGCTATAGAGTTCTAAATATCTCAAGATAACATAATCCGACATAAGTCAATTTATCATCTGTAAACGTAGAGGGTGTTTTTTTTACTTTAATATGTGAACGGTGTTTTTGTTGAACTTCTGATACAAGCAAACTTTGCTGGGCTTTTCAAGTTATAGTGTTGGGTTTTAAAATTTCTAGGATCAAATTTCCATATTCTGAGGTTATCGGGATTTTATCACCCCTTTATTATTCAAAATCATTAAAATATCAAAATTTTTAAAGGTTCGAAAAATATCCATTGCCAAATGTTGGGAATGTTGATGTATCATCACAAATTCCTTCAACAATATTAGAGAATCCTTGTAATTCTTATGCACTTCCAGTAAATAACGGACAAAATTTGACAAAAGAAGAAGAAAAACGTAAAATTTTGATATTGCCATATGTGGATATTGGAGAACCAGATTGGCTTGTACACGGGTTACCAGAACGTGAACGTTATCTATTTCCTGATTTTGATTCTTTCTCATCATCATTTCAGTCATTAAAACAAAAATTTAAAGAAAGTGATAGAAATTGGCGACTTTAAAAAATTAAATTAAAAATTATTCTTTGACTTTCAATTTTTTCTTTTGATTATTTTTTTGTTTTTTCTTATATAGAAAATATTGATTTTATGAAAAAAATTTTTTTGTTGCTCATTTAAATGAATTTTAAAATTTTGTTTTTTTCAAATGGTACACTAATTTTGGGAGAATAAAAATTTTTATGATGTTTCAGTGAAGATTTTAAGTGTTATATGGCATGATATTTAAGCTAGGAACTCTTAAAGAAAGGTTGAAAAAGTTAAAAAATTGACCTGAACTTAAAAAAAGACCCGAAACTAACAATGAAAATTCCAACCGAAAAAACTGGGACACGCCCGAAACGGCGCGGGCCAAAACGGCGCGACCGAAACGACGCAGGCCGAAACGGCGCAAGGCCAAAACGGCGCACGGCCCAAAACGGCGCAAAAATTTCCCATAAGCTATTGTTACGTGAGGTTTAGCTCGAATGGTGATCGTATCTTTTGGAGATGTGAACAAAAAAATAGCAGATGTAAAGGTCGCATTTGGACAACATCTTGTGATAACAGAGTGATAACAAAACTAATTAGATGGTATACTTACTAGTAAGTATAACTGCGAGAAATAACTGCGGGATTCAGATAGTTCCAATATAACTATATTACTAGTTAGTTTCCCCTATAACTACATATATTACTAGTTAGTTCTCCCTATAACTATATAGTTATCGCCATATTATTACTGTAACCAGCTAGACTTAGGTTATTTTTATTTTGGTCGTTGATGTTGGAACAGCCTTGACCGTTGCTGGAACAACTTATCTCAATGTTGGAACGATCTTCCACATTGTTGAAACAATTTTCCCGTAATACGCAAAACCTTATTGTAGAATTTAAATAGTTCGAAGGATCAGTGTACACAAGGGTGGTTATCGATTTTTGATCAATCACTAAGGCAGATCGATCACGAATAGGTTGATCACTAGAGATCAATTGAACACTCTCACAGTTGATCACATGATGATAACACGATTAATCACTATCACTGTACAGTTTAGGGTTTGCGCCGTTTTGGGCCGTGCGCCGTTTTGGCCTTGCGCCGTTTCGGCCTGCGTCGTTTCGGTCGCGCCGTTTTGGCCCGCGCCGTAATGGGCTGTACCCGAAAAAACTTCCTCTTCATGACTGTTTCGCCAATTAGAGCAAAAAAGGACATTTCGTCTCAATACAAAAATGCCAATTTCTTGAAATTTTTGCATTTTGTCATTATCGGGTGTAATTTTTGAATTTTGCTTATTTTAATTTTCTTATTCTCCTATATGCCATCAACGCCAAGTACTTCTATTGCTCCATTAACTAGTCAATATAGCTATCAATATAATTATTATGGATCTTATGGCACAGGTCCCGGTGATTCTCAACATCGTCAATTACACAGAATTTGGGAAACAGATGAAGAAGGGGAATTATTGGTTAATAAAAATGTTTCAAATGATCCACCAACTACAACAAATTTGTCAGAACAACAATATATGTTTTTAGATGTTTATTTACCTAATGGTTTGTTATTACCTATACAATGCCAAACACATAGAACTATTGCGTTGTTAAAACAGGATGTGTTCTTTCAGGCTAGAAAGTAAGAAATTTTAAGGTTTTTTGAGAGGACTGGATGGAGGAGCAGGCCCGTAACCAGGGGGTACCCTTCCCCTCCCCCCTAAAAAATCCTAATTACGGGCCTAGGGAGGCAATCCTGAAAATTCTCTTTTTTTCTTATCTGTCCTTTTTTGTTCATTTTCTGAGAGGGTATTTTTGTTTTTCAAGCCTTGAAGTTTGGCCTTCCGTATTAATATCTAAAATTTTATCAGGTATCCTTTGGGCGCTTCTCTCTCAGATATTTCCAACTACATTTTTATGACTATTGGTCTAGATGGTGCGCATATTCAGGTATTATATTAGAATAATTTTTATTACTTCATAGCTCCCGTGTCATAATTTTAACCCAAAAAATTAAAAAAAATTCATTTAAAAAATTTAATTGAAAATGCGGATTTTTCTATTCTATTTCGCACAATTTTTTTAGTTATATGATGAACAAAAGCCAGTATCAAGTCTTCAAAATCTTTTCCTCCCCCTTTTGGTTTTGGCTGAACCAGAAGGGAATAAAATGGAAAAAGAATTAAATCAGCAAATTGGCTATATAATGGGCATTACTTTAATGGAACTTGAAAGAAAACTTGACAAAGAACTTCAAAACTTTCGCTTAAAATTATTCGAAACTTGTTTGGAGGCTGAACAGGAACGAGGGACCTACCAATTTTTACATTATGCATTTCCTGAGGGGCCTCTTTTGCAACAACAATTACATCCTGGAGCTAATTCTTCACAATTTGGTTTTTAATTTTTTTTTGAGTTTTTCTAGAAATATTTTTGTGGACATTTTTATGGGGTTTTTTTAAAATTATTTCGATATTTTTTAAATTTATTTTTGTATTTTTAAATAAGAGACTGAATCCTTTTTTGAATTAAAATTATAGTTCTAATGTAATAGAGATTTTATCTTATCCGCAAAAATTTTACGTGTTTTTGTAAATTTTTAGTCCTTAAAATTATATCTAAAACCTAAGTTATCATCCTTTATTCATTTTTACTAATATTTAAATTTTTGTAGGAACAATTGATCCATCCGATCACCCACTCGAAATTGAGAGGAGAGCATTGGAGAAATTAAGACAAAAAATGCAATCATCAGATGCTTATGTTGAAGTTTTTTCTAATTATTTTATTTATAAAATATATTTTTTAAAAAGGTTTGGTATGGAATACCTTCAACCAAAAATTCTCAAGAAAACCAAAAAGAAGTAGATTTTGAATATTCTGTTCGGATTCGTAATATTTTGGGGGCAACACCAGAAGATGTTTTGAGAGCAGCATTAAATGAATTTAGAACACAATATTCTTTAGATATTAGACAACCACATACAGAATTTATATTGCAAATAGCTGGACAACAAGTTTATGTTACTAGACCAGATGTTCCTTTAACGCAATTTGTGGTGAGGGGTTTGGATAATTTTAACATGAAAATTTTTTCCTTTCATTCTTTTTTTCACAATTTAATCCTCTAGACTAATTTAGAAACCAGAGGTTTGTTTGTTTGTGGTTTCGTCTTGTCTAATGTTTCCCCTTTTTTTGATTTCAGGATCTTTTTCAACCCCCGCCCTCGTTAGAAGCTAATTTTTAAAATTAAATTGTCAGAAATCAATTGTATGTTTCCTTAAATACACGTTCATTTTGTTTGAAAATTAGCTTCCCCTTATTTTTTGCAAAATTTATATTTTCTTTATTTTTTAGTATATTCGCTCATGTTTTGAAAACTATCGAATTCCAAGACTAATAATCAGAGAGAAAAGGCTTGTTTTTATGGACTACCCGCCACCTCCCAAAATATTTGAGGTTTTCTTAAAATATTTTTTTCCTCTGTAAAATTTGTTTTTAGCCTTCCTATGTCCGTCGTGAAGTGCATAATCAATATTTAACAAATGAGACTTTAGTAAACGGTACCTCGACAGTTGCCGACGGTACTTCTCAAACATCTAGCGGAGACGCTAAACAAAAACAGAAAAAACTTTTTTGGGATTTGGATGAAAATTTGAGGTTTTTATGAATTTTTGAAAATTCTAAAAAATTTCAGAATTCAAATCCATTCTGCTTCAAATATCACTGTCCAAGACAGTCGGGATCATTTATTTGTACGTGTTGCTGTGGCTGTTGGTAGACATGTCCTTGATGTAAAGGATTCAATTACAGTGACATCCTCAAATCCACGATGGGGACAGGAGGTAATAAATTCTTGATCTTTTGGTTAAAAAAAATTTTTTCGTCACTCTGGGTGGGATTTGTTTATTTAATTTATCCTTGCAAGTTTTTTTTAATTTTTTTGGCATTTCATAAATTTTTCGAGACCTTCATTATCCTTAAATCATTTAAAATATTTGTTATATAATTTTTTAGACATTTATTGACTTTGACATTTATCTGAAAGACTTGCCCGAATCAGCTCAACTCTGTTTTTCATTGATATCAATTCACAATCCAAATAGCTCTTCATCAGATATTTCAAAAATTAATACAAAACAACAACAAAGGTCAGGAACTCCTACATTAAACACGACTTCAACTTCAATGAATTGTGAATTAAATTCTTTGGGTTATGCTAATTTACATATTTTTGACTGGAGAAGTCGCCTTATTCAAGGAAAACAAACATTATTTTTGCGTCCTTTTGAAAAGGTTTTTAAATTTAATTTCAATTATTAAAAATTTTTTGAAGGCTCGTTCTTCCATTTCTTCTCCTCAATTTGTCCATCTAGATAATGAGTATGGTGATGCTCTTTCAACTGTAACATCGAGGACTCCTCGGTTGGAAATTGAAATGCCGGAGGTTTTCTTTTTAAATTTCTAGAGCATAAGGGACAGATAAAAATAGTATTTTTTGACTTAACAAATTTTTAGTATTTTGGCGGTTCTACAATTATTGAGTATCCTCCAGATTTGGTTATTCAACGTTATATTCGTTGGTTAAAACAACACAGGAGAAAGAGAAAATCTGATGAATTAAATAACAATGGATCGATTGATAGATATAATTCTGAAGATGATTTGGACGATAGTGATGATAATGATGAAGAAGATGTGGAATATGGTGATGAATATGGAATTAATAAATTAAGAAAAATGACATTGGCACAAAAACCGTTAATGACGGTAGGTAATTATAAAAAAAAAATTTTTTAGGTGGGGTGATTTTCCAAATAATTTCTTTCTTAAATATTTCTTTTCATTCTTACATTTTATAGCAAGGCGATGAACTAGAACATCTTCTTCGTTTAGGCCGTTCATTAGATTCAACTTTACTTACCTCAACAGACCAACGCTTCCTTTGGCATCGGCGCCGTCTTATTTGTCATCATTTTCCGCAAATGCTTCCTGTACTAGCTGATTGCGCAATTATTTGGCGAACTCGTGAAAATACTAGCGAATTTTATAGGTTTATAGTTTATTATGTTTAAAGAATTTTTTAAAATTTAGATTGCTAGCTAAATGGCCTCCACTTTATGTAGATACAGCAATTGAATTACTGGATGGAAGATATGTTGATAGACGATTGCGAACTTTAGCAGTGAAACATTTAGATGATGCTTTGGATGATGATCAATTGCAACTTTATTTGTTGATTTTGGTTCAAGTATTTTTTTGAATTTATTGCTTTTCTTAGTTCCCTCACTTTTAATTTTAAGGCAATTCGTTTTGAACATCACGCTTTCTCTCCTTTGGTTAGAATGTTGCTGCGTAGAGCACTTATGGATTATCGTGTTGGACACACACTTTTTTGGTTGTTACGAGCCGAATTAGCCCATTTACTTGCTTTTGGAAATGTTAATCAACCAGCAACGATTGGATTAAAAAACTCAATGGAAAGAAGTTAATTTTAGACTTTTTAAAAAATTTTTCTTTTAAAATAATTTTAGATACTGGCCCACAACTTTCCCCGTTATTTTTACGTTTTGCTCTAATGTTTGAAGCTTATTGCCGTGGGAATAGTGCCCATCTAGATTCAATGTGTAAACAAGTTGAGCTTATCAGCACTTTAACTACTTTAAGTACTGGAATATGTGCAAATAGTAATCGAGAAGCTGCAAATAAAGTATTCTTAAGTTGTTTTGTTTAAATAATTGATTTTTATTTAAGAAGCTCCAAATAGAATTGATGGCACGTAGAGAGCAAATGCAGCATATGGTGTCTCCAGTAAATGCTACTTATCGATTGGGAGAGTTAATGTTTGCAAATTGAAATTTTTTTCAAAATTTACGTTTTTAATTTAAATTTTAGAATTGAGGAATGTCGAGTTCTTGGTAGTGCAAAACAACCTCTTTTCCTTACCTGGAGAAATCCTGAAATTTTGGCAAGATTAACTTCCCCCACTCATCAATTGATTTTTAAATGTGGAGATGATATGAGACAAGATATGCTGTAAACATTTTTTTCTAAAAATCTCAAAATTTAAATTTTTTTCTTTTAAAGTTCTTTGCATGTAATGCGCATTATGGATGCAAAATGGAAAAGTCAATTACAACAAGATTATTGCATGACATTATATGAAGTCCTTCCAATGGGAAAAAATGTTTTATTTTTTGATTAAATTTAGTTATTTTCTTTATAGATTGGACTAATACATGTTGTCCCAGATTGTCAAACTCTTTTTCAAATTCAATGTGAAACAAGAAAAACAGCATCTCTAAATATGGATATTGCTCTTTTAAATAAATATATTTATAAGAAGTGTTGTTCTAGGGACAGTAAAAAGTATTTTAATAATTTTAGTAATTGACAAGGGATTTTCAAGGCCTCCTAAAATAAGAAATAAAGAAATTTTTGGGAGGGGAATGACAAAAAAATGAGATTTTTTTGCCTAACATAGTTTTTTTTCTCTCTTGAGGAGATCAATTTTCTTCTTTAGAGTGAAAAAAGTCTCATTTAAGGAATTTTGGCCTCTTATTGTTAGTCTTCGGATTTCATTTTCTCAAAAAAAAAAACAAATTTACTTATCTTCCCTCTTCTCTGAAAATCTTTCTTAAATATGTCCTTGCTTAAAAATATTAGAAAAAAATAATCTTATAATTTTTCTAAAGGTATTTGGAATGCGTAGATCGCTTTACTATGTCTCTTGCTGGTTATTGTGTAGCTACTTACATTCTTGGTATTAAAGATAGACATCAAGACAATATAATGCTTGCAAACGATGGAAGGGTTAATTTATTTGAAATTTTATTTTACAATATTAATCCTAAATTTAAATTTTTAAAGATATTTCACATTGATTTTGGACATATTTTGGGACATACAAAAAGAAAATTGGGAATTAATCGTGAGAGAACAGATTTTGTTTTGACTGATCATTTTCTTTATGTAATTTCTCGAGGAAAAACAAACTTTAGACAAACATATGAATACAATAGGTTAGAAATTTTTTCTTAATATTTATGGACACCGTTTAGTCCTCACTAGAGATCGAGCTGGACCTGGACCAAAGCCTGGGTTTTTCCTGTATCCAGATCCAGGCATTTTTTACCTTCCTGGGGTTTTCCTGGACTACAGGCCCAGGATCCAGTCCAGGTCTAGAAATGAAACTCCAGAATTCAGGAACAGGTCCAGGCTTTTCAGAAATCTCGATCTCTAGTCCTCACCTAAAATGTTTTTTGGCTTTAATTTTCCCCTTAAAATTTTTTAGTTTTCGTGATGAATGTACAAAAGGTTTTCTATCATTATACAGCCAAGCTCGTTTCTTTATTGCATTGTTTCGAATGATGTTTGTTTTTTTATTTTTGAAAACTATTTAATACTTAAAAAAGGTGTTGTATGGGATTGCCAGAACTTAGCCCTGTAAATGTTGATTTTCTTAAACAAACATTAATGTATGATAAAGAAAAACGTGAAGAGGCTAGGGCTGCTTTTGAACAAATATTTGAGGATGTAGTTAAAGGAGATTGGTCAATACATTTGAATTGGTTTTTTCATTCGGTTCGGCATATGTAACGGTTATAGAATATATTTCTAAAATTTTTTCCTATTTTTATTTTAACAAATTTCTATTTTCTGTACAATATTTTGATAAGCCATTAGTTTTTAGAATTCCTTTATGTATATTTTGCAGTGATCAGTTTACATTCAAATCTGGACCGTGATTTTTCCTTTATTCATAGTCAAGATCAAAGCATTTTTTGGGCGGGGCTGGATTTTCGGTTGAGAAACTGTTCAGAAAGTCAAGGTCATTCTATTAAAAATAATCAATTTTCATTAATAAAAATCCTATAAAATTTTTAGAGATTCTATTCAAAATTCTTTTATTTTAGAGCTTTTACATTCCTTAATGAACTTTTATTGTTAGACCTCATATTTTGTTGTGATAATATTGAATTTTCCTAGAATTTTATTTTCAACCCCTTTTAACATTTCCTTTATATATTTTTAAAAAAATCTTTTAATGTTCTCATTATAATTTCTACATAAAGTAAAATTTTAACAATAAACATTTGAGAATGTCAAACACATCTGTCAAAGTCAATAAATATAAAAATTAAAAATAAGTGAAAACTATAGAATCCTGATTCAATAAAATGTCCAAATTTTAAAAATGTCCAAAAAATCATTTCAACATCTAACAAAAACTAGGCAAACCATAATTTTGAGGTCGAAATTCAGCCAATGATTCCAAGACTTCCACCAAATTTGGATGAGCACGAAGTTCATCCTCTTCCCAATTAGGAGGCAGAAATTCGGGTTGCGGAACCATAATTACCTTGATAATTTTTAAATTAAATTTTGGAAATATTGTTGCTCTTGAGAATCCGTAAATTTTATTAGAAAATTTTTTGATAATTTTAGAAAGCTTTTCCTCAATCTAAACTTTTGGTGACTCACATAAACTAAATAATTTTTTTTCATTTTTTCCGGAATTGCGAATAAAATTTGCGGATTTCAGGAACATAAGAACAAACTACGGCAATCCCGGAGAATTGGGGTTTCTTCGAAAAAAAAGTTTAAAAATAAGAAAAAGGGTTTTTCTAGGGTAAAAAAATATGCTGATTACGAATCTGAGCTCGGATTTTGAAAAAGTCGAATCCCGGACCCGAACCAAATTTCGAACCCTGAACCCGGATTTCGAATATGCAAATGATAGCTCGTTCGAAAGAGCTCGTCGAGCTGCATTGAATGACACCAAAGTCAACGAAATCTGACATGATAGGACAAAGTTATGACATAAAATAAACCTATGGGAGTACTGTAGGAGTCGGCGACTCATGTCATAACTTTGTCAAAACTTGATCAATCACTAATTTTGGTGTCATGCGACTCAACTCGATGAGCTCTTTCGAATGAGCTATCATTTGTACAAACTTTTTTTTACTCTAAAAAATCGCCCCTATTGTTTTTCAATATTCCGGGGTCTGTATCTCGGTCCACCCACGTCGGATTTCATCGATTTTGGTGTCATTCGATGCATCTCGATGAGTTCTACCTGCATATGAAAGACTGACCATTTTGTACAATGTCCGACAATGTCCGGGGTCAAATTCCGAATTCGGGTCCGGGATTCGACTTTTTCAAAATCCGAGCTCAGATTCGTAATCAGCATATTTTTTTACCCTAGAAAAACCCTTTTTCTTATTTTTAAACTTTTTTTCCGAAGAAACCCCAATTCTCCGGGATTGCCCAAACTACAATTTAATTTAAAAGAAAACTAAACTGTACATCCAGCATCCAAAGCACTACGAACACCATTAACAGAATCTTCAAAAACCAAAACATTCTCTGGGCTTGCAGGGCCTCCATCATCAAAACGTTTCATTAATTTTAGATAAGGTTCTGGATGTGGCTTGCAATAAGTTATTTCTTTAAAAAAATATTTCGAAGAATTTTTTTATTTTAGAAACCTGGGTCACTGCCACAAAGAAGTCGAAGAGGAATTTTCTCCAACCAATTCGAAATTTCAGTGTTCGAAGTTTTCTGTTTAAATTCGAGAGCGTCAGAACCTGTACATATAGCCAATGGAATGCCGCTTTTGTGTAAATGGTCAACAAGGGGAATAGCCCCAGGCAATACCTTTGAAAATAAGTGAAGATTTGATTAAATATTTATTGAAACCCCCAAAGGACCTTCCTTCCTTCCCAACCTTTTAACTACTTTTTTGAAAGAAATCTAAGTACCTCAGTCTCAGCTATAAGCAATTCTGCAAGTTTAGCATCATATGCTTCCATATATTTTTCAATTCCTTTATGGTCATCCAATCCAAAAGATTTTAGCAAAGCCTCAACAGCAAGAGGTTTAGCTTTCCCCATCATTAATGCCTTCCTTTAATTAGAAAAAGTTTTTCCAAAAATTAATTTAATTTACTCAATATTTGTAAAAGTCTTTCCATGTTGGCTCTTTAATACTTGTTCATTTGCTTTAGAGTAGAGTCGTTCAGTGTCAACAAGAATACCATCAAAGTCAAAAATAACATGAGTAACTGATCCTCTAGAAACAAATTTTTCTTCAATATCGTCAATAAGTGAAGACATAATTTTTTGTTATCTAAATGAAATTAAAGAGAAATGAACGCTTTTTGCAATTATTTTTGTGGCGGTCACTCTTTAAAAGTCAACCCCAAAATATCAACACTAAAAATTAAAATGTGTTCTCGTTCAGACTTTCTTGGGGGGTTTATTCAGTCTTTGTTTTGGGGTAAAATCGTGAGCACCGATTTTTTGAGGCTTGACTTTTTCGAAAAATAAAAGTGAGAAAAAGATGAACAGGTAAAGAAGGTACATACATATAAATGCTTTATCATCATTTTAAGCTGTAAATTTTTAAATTTTATTAAAAATGTAGTGAACATAAAATAATAGAAAAATTTCAAAAAATAATTTTTTATTGCGAGCATTCACTTCTTTCTGCCTAAAAATGGTGGAATTGTACCCAAACATCGCCCAGGTATACAATTTAAGCCAAAAGGACAACCGATACCTCCACATGCTGAAACTAAAAATAGGCAAATTTAACTGAATTAATTTTGGAAAAACAAACATGAGAATGAATTCATTCCAAAATAGGGAGAATAGAACCCTCCCAATCCATAACCATAAAGACTTCCACGCCCGTATGGACTTCCATATCCAACTTCCGGGTATCCAATACCAGCAGTCTGAAATATACACCTCCCGGCTTGGCAAATTTGACCGCTATAACAGTCTACAGCATCAGCACATACTAAAACAGATTATTAAAAGAGTATTATTTTTACAAATCTACATTTACTGGCGGCAGCATAGAGGCCATAAGCCCCACTGTTAAGTCTCCCTCCATAACCTCCACCAAGTCCGTAATCCATAGGCTGACAAATACCTGCAATTAAGGTTCACGGCATATGTAAGATAGATATCATCCGGAACCGATATCCAAACCGAATATCACGCTATATCTCGACTTATCCGGAATTTACCTGCAATGCAATATTGCCCCAACGGACATGAAATAAAACGACATGTGCTAGGCCCATATCCTGCATATACAAAAGATTTTTTAAATTTTCTAAATCCTTCAAAACCAACCTCGTAAAGCTCCCAAAAAGTTGCTTCCATAGTAGCTTTGTGCCAAACTAATTTTTAAATTAAAAAATTCAGTTGTGCCCAATTTTATTCTACTAAAACTTGCCTAATATGAAGAATGTAACTTAACGAGAACAGTAAAATCGAAGTAAACATTGCCAAAGGGAATGGCTGAATTACCTGCAATGAAATTACCTACAATTCCCTCTCCTCACTACATTTAATAAAAATTGAATATTGTGCAACTGTCCCTCAACAAAATTTTATATTATCATGGCAGAAGACAAGTTGACTAGAAACGAGTATTTTTTAGGTGACTATTAAAAAAAAGTAAATGTCCACTTCCGATTTTGTGGCCTAATTTTTCGATGTAATTTAGTAAAAAACATTAGGCAGGAAATATAATTTAACATATTAAGAAAAAAATAAAAATTTAATTCACGTAAAAATTGGAAAAATTTTTGAAAAAAATTAAAAATTAGTAAAACAAAAGCAGTTGAATTTCAAGATTCTTTTGACTTGCTTCGCTGCTTCGAAACGTTCTAAAAAGTTTAATTAGATTGATAAAGATTAGAATGGATATTTTCTGTTGTAAAGAGAGAATCCAAAGAATATTCATAACTGATCACTGGCACCAATTTTTCTGATAAATTTTAAAAAATAGGAAAAGGTACCGAAAGTAGTTCCGCAGGGAAGCTGTGCTTTTCTCTCCAAACACAATTCAAACAATAAGTGTTTTTATAGAAAAGAGAACATTCCTAAAAAATTTAAATTACTTTCTTTTGTTAAAATCCCTCAAAATACCTCGTCTACACAAATTTGTTGATTACAAATATAACAATTTGCACCAATAACGAGAAAATCTTCAATTGAATAATTCCGTTGAGCTTTGTGGAAATCTGGGGGCTCAAAAGGATTTTTCATATAAAAACACTCTTCTCTACAGCCAGCCTTCTCCAGCTCCAATTTTCCAAATCGACATTTAACTGAAAGTTTGCAGCTTGCACAAAAGAAGTCTGTTGAATTTGAAGGATATTCTGATGAAGTTCCAATTATTGCGCTTAAATATTTGAAAAATATTTATAGAAGTTTTGAGAATAATTAACTTTTCAGCAGATTTAGAGCCCATAATTAAAGTACCTAGGTAATCTTCCGCTTTACTGGTCCCTAGAAAAAAATGAGGAATAACTGCTAGTTCGACATTTTTGAGGCATGCCGGTAGGTAATCGAGCTTGCTGAGTCCGAATCTGAGCTTAGAATTTGTTTATTTCGAACCCCGGACCCGATTTCGACCATGTCAAACATGGGATAAAAATTCGAAATTTCAAATTTTATGTCTAATCGGACTCAGCTCCTCGAGCTGAGTCGATTGATACCAAAATTATTACGTTTCGACATCTGCAGACTAAGTTATGCTATACGGAAGTCTAACCAAGCGTGTATTTAATTGATTATAACTCAGTCTAAAGTTGTCGAAACACAATAATTTTGATATCATTCGACTCAGCTTGCAGAGATGAGTCAGAATATCTACAGCCTAATAGTTTCGAATTCTTACCCCGAATTCGACCAAGTCGAATTCGGGTCCGGGGTTCGAAATAAACAAATTCTAAGCCCATATTCGGACTCAGCACACTCTATTACCTACTGGCAGACCTCAAAAATATCGAAAAAGTACTTCTACCACATTTTTTCCTAGGGACCAGTAAAGCGGAAGATTACCAGTACCTAAGTTGTTGTTTATAAAATTTATCCAGCTTAAAAAATAAAGAACGAATTAAATTATTTCGTGTCGGGCCGACACATTATCTCGTGTCGGGAACGGACAAAACAAGGAAAAGACAAAACACGGAACGACCAGAATACAGAAAGACCATTCCTTGTTTTGCCCCTCATCCAATTATTTGATCTAGGCAAAGCATAATAACAAGAGAAGGTTTTTAAACAATTCGACTTTGAAGTTATTTTTATGCCCTACGCCATAGTGTTCTGCGCCATAGTATCCTTGTCCCCGAATTTTTATTGTTTCTGACCGTCTTTTTTGTTTATCCTTTGTTAAAGTTTCTTTAAAAATTTTTTTAGTTTGTTTTTATGAAAATGACTTCAGTTATTCAATCAGATGTTGTTAATTCTTCAAATAATAATTCTAAATGTGTTGACAATTCCAATGATAAACAGGCGGATATCGAGATTGTTGAGGGGGAATTAAAACAAGAAAAACAACAAAATATTTTTAAGGATTTAATTTCAAAAATCAACCCGAGTAGTTATCGAGAACGGCCAAATTATTCTAGAATTGATTTTTCTGCTAATAAATGGTTAATGTCTTATGATGAGAATTCTTTATCAAAATTAGAAAATCCGCCGTCTTTGGCTGATGGAATTAGTTTGGAATTGGAAAAGGTTTTTATTGGTTTTTTCTTCTTACACTGGTCTCTAGAAAAAGGATGGGAAGAGCTCTCGTTTTCATTAAGTATCGTGTGATATAATTATCGAATGAGCTCCCTTCATTCTTTCTCTAGTCCCCAGTAATCTTCACTTTCACTTTGTTTTAAGGATATCCGTTATTTGGGTTGTGAATTAATCCAGTCTGGTGCTATTTTATTAAAATTGAGTCAAACAGCAGCCGCAACTGCTCAGATTTTATTTCAACGTTTTTATTATCAAAAATCATTTGTTCAATACAGTTTTGAGGTTTTTATTGAAAAAATTTTAATTTTCTTTTTCCTCACAGCATATGCTCTGTGCGTGTCTTTTTTTGGCTAGCAAAATTGAGGAACAACCAAGAATGCCTGGGGACGTTATAAATGTTTATCATCGGCTCAAACAATTGTACCAACATAGACAAAAGATCAGCAATGGTGGAGACATCAGAAGTGTTAATCTTCAACACCTTCGACCTAAAGAGTAAGGGAATTATTAAAATATTAACATTTTTGAGCTTTATATTGCTTAAAAATTAATTATTTATAAGTGAAGACTTGGCTGTTGAAAAGGCAAAAATTGGTAAAATTTCGGTATACGACACAGACGCCGATTAAGTCGAATGATATGTCATTCGAAAGAGCTCGTCGAATTGAGTCGAATGGTGAAAAAATTTTCGTGCGGACTCATAGAGGGGCTGAGATATAAGCCCCCGAAAATCGAAAAACCAAAGGGGGGACCAAGCACTTTTTTGGGTTGAAAAATTCGAAAATGCAAATTATACCTCATTAGAAAGAGCTCGTCGAGCTGAGTCGAATGACACCAAAATCAACAAAATCCGACTTGATTGGACAAAGTTATGATCTTTTATTTTAGCTCCTTACCTATGGCATCTGAGGAGATTTTTGCTGCTACGGAGGCCCCAAATACGTCCAGAGCAAGAGAGATAGGAATAGGTTTATGTTACGAGCCCAGACCCAGCGCCCGTAGACTCCCCGCGAGGCGCGTGCCGCAAAACCCCGCGCGAAGCGCGGGGTTTTGCACAAGCGCCTCGCCGACGCCCCATAGGTTTAGGTTTTTTGTTTTTTGTATCGTAACTTTGTCCAAACTTGTACAATCACGATGATTTTGGTGTCATTCGACTCAGCTCGAGGAGCTCTTTCGAATGAGCTACTATTTGCATATTCGAATTTTTTACCCCAAAAAAGTGCTTGGTCCCCCCTATGGTTTTTCGATTTTCGGGGGCCTATATCTCAGCCCCTGTATGAGTCCGCACGAAAATTTTTTCACCATTTGTCTCAACTCGACGAGCTCTTTCGAATGACATATCACTCGACCTAATCGGCGTCTGTGTCGTATACCGAAATTTTTCCCAAAAATTTAGTCCAAAATGATAGAATTCGAATTTTAATTGTCTGGTTAAATAATTCTCATATCAATCGGAAGTTCTGTATGAGATGTAGCTTCTGTGTGTTTTTTATGTAGTCCGCATCCAAAGCTTTCGATTGATATAAAAATTATCCAAATTAAGTGGAAACTAAAAATAGTTGTGCCCAAAAATAAGGCCTGGGGTTTGGATTTGTCGCTTTAAAATAAGTAGGAATTCCCTTTTAGTTTTAGATTTTTTTTGTTTTTTTTTTTTGGTATTCTAAGACAATATCAATAGACATTTTATTTTCTAAAAATATTTATCTATTTAAAAATCCACATTCTTTGACTTTCATATTATTCAAAATTCCATATCTTTTCTTAACTTAATTTATCTTTATTTTTTTGGGGATGGGTTTGGTATTTTTATTTAACTTGATAATAATCCATATTTTTATTAGGTGCACTAACAGGCACTTACCACAACTTTACATTCAATTATTCTCCATTATTAATTAAATTGAATATGTGAAAGGTGAGGAAATCTTTTGTTTATTTTTGCAGGATATTATTTAACACAACTAGAAGGTAATGTTTTTGGAATTAAGATGAATTTAAATATTTTTTATGGGCTTGAAACTTCATAAGAATTGTTGAAATTTTCTGCCAGGTTTTTAAAATGTAATTTTATTTCTACTAGGATTTGTATTTTTGTGTTTACAGGTAATTAGTTTATATATTTCAGTCATTGTTTCTGTCAATCATACAATTTTTATTGTTAGAAGTCGACCGTTAGCCGCAAACGTTGGAAACTCGCTCTACTTTTGAAAAGGCTGGTTTTATCTTTTAAATTTAATTCCCACAATATTAAATTTAAATTAAGTTTTCAAACAATTAATGTTATAAATTCATCTCAAAGTAAAACGTATTAATCAGGGATAGGCCGGATTGAGAAAAATCGGGTCGGATTTTCTAAAATTTAATGGTCCAGGTTTCGGGTTTAATTGAGTAAATTGACTCGTTCCTGATTTTTGCTGAATCCTTTTATCAGAAAATTTATTCTAATCCTAAAGTTTAGTAAATTTCAAAATTTGTGCGAGTATCCTACGGTTGCGGCTTTTTATTCCCAATTTTTATTGTTTATTTAAATTTTTAGTTATTGTACTTTGTCGTTTCAATGGCCAATTCAAACTTTGGTACTTTATGGATATGTCACCCCCCCTCCTATTTTGAGTCTCAGAGTTTTCCTTAAACGTATAAAATGGTCAGAGATTATTTTCTTCTCCATGTCAATCATTTTTCTTTCTTCAAGCAAAATAAGTGAAATACGATAAATGTAGAAACGAAATGAGTGAAATGTAAGTACAAAATATGTGAAAAGGCAAAATAAACAAGCAAAATACTTGAAGAAGAAAAAAATGATTGACATGGAGAAGAGAATAATCTCTGACCATTTTCTACGTTTAAGGAAAACTCTGAGACTCAAAATAGGAGGGGGGGGTGACATATCCATAAAGTACCCAAACTTTCAAAATCGTGCGGATTTTTCCAATGATTTTTCTAAATACGTTAAGATTTATTTTTATATGTACTTTTACAGGTTCGACCATTTGGAATTGGATGGGGACGAATTCACGGAGATGAAAAAGAAATTACTTGAATCTGAGCTTTGTCTACTTAATGTTTTAGGATTTGTTGTCCACGTATGAAAATATTTTTATATAATTTTATATTTTAAAATAATCGGCACTTGTTAGGATTGGAGTTCACTCTTTTTGTCGATTTTTTAATTAAAAGGAAGGCATTTTTCCGCGTTCACAAATATTTTATGAATAAAAAAGTTGGGAATAGTCACAGAGAAAAAGCTTCCAATGTAAAAAGTTTCTATTTTTGACCATTTTGATCCTTTTTAAGTAAAAAGTCTGTGTACTTCAATCAATACGAGTGCCGAATAATTATAGGTACACCACCCTCACAAATTCGTCTACATTTACTTGCATATTCTTGGCTTGTTATATAAGGAAAGTGATCCGAACGCGACTAAAGAACAGATTAACAGGAGTAAAGAATTACTTCAAAAAGCTTGGTATTTTGTTTTTGATTTATTAGAATTCATTTCATTTTTAAGGAGTTATATGAATGATGGTCTTCGAACAGATATATTTTTACGTTATACTCCAGAAACGATTGCTTGTGCTTGTATTCAATTAGCTGCCAAAACTGTTGATCATCCTGTAATTCTTCCCAAGTCTCCTCCATGGTTCTTGGATTTTCTAAAAAAATTTTTAAGTGTTTATTTTTTAAAGGTTTGAGCTCTTCGATGTGTCTGATTGTGATATTCGTCTTATTTCTAAAATATTGATGTGTCTTTATACACGAAAAAGAGCTCCAAGTCTTGATTTTATTAATTCACAATTGAAGCTACATCAAAAAGAACCTTCAGATTCTAATAAAAATGAAGAGGAGGTGACTGATAAAGCATATGCTGATATACAAAAAGTAGTTAAAGAAAGAGCTATTAAAGCTAGTAAAAAAGGAGATGAAAAAGCAGTGAGAATTAAAAAAGTGTAAGGATTAAAATTTTTTGAAATAAATTTTTATTTAAATTTTCAGAAGTATGAAACACGTTTTCGGCCCTCCATTTCATATTATGGTTGATGCAACCTTTATTAGTTATTGCGTAAAAAATCGATTGGATATAATGGAAGGATTTGAGGATTGTCTTTTTGATAAAGGTTTTTTATATCGAAATGATTAAAATTATTTACAAAAATTTTTTAGTAATTCCATACATTCCCAAATGTGTTATTGTTGAATTGGAAAGGAAGGAACGTCGTTTTAAATCAGTTTTGAAAATTATAAACGATTATCGTTGGCAAAGACTACATTGTTCTCATAAAAAAAGTATCAATTCAGACGAATGTATTATTCGTAGAGTTGAAGAGGTAATTGTAGTCATTCAATTTTATAAATTCCTTGGAAATTTCAAATATAGGGAATATATACGTTAGTTTCAAATATAATTGGGGTGATTTTTTCGAAGATATTTGAATTATGTAAATTATTTTGATAATTAAGGAGTTACGAAACTGGTGAAGTAGTTTGAATTCACTGATTTGTTAATTTCTAACTTTCTTTTTGTATAGAAAACAAATAATTGGGAAATAATGATAACGATTAGATACTTTAGTCCTTTTACTTTTCCACCCCCACTAATTTAATGCTTCTATTTATATTAATTTTCCAAATTTTTTTTTGATTTAATTTTTCTAGCACAAAAACTGTGTCGTTGCTACTTGTGACAAAGATTTACATAGAAGTATCCTCAAAATTCGGGATGTCCCAATTATTTATATTCGAGATCATCAACTTACAATTGAGCGTATGCCAAGTTAAATACTAAGAAAACAATTGAAGGCCTAAAGATTAATTTCTGATCAATTTTTATAAATTCACAAGCATATTTAAATACTATCAAGAGTGAATTTCAAAATAAAATTTGCAATAAATTTTTAGTTTTTTCGATAAATACGCCTCGAAAATTATTTTATTTAATCTATTGAACTATCAATATGTATTGGCTTAACTACTGGCTTGACTTTTACATCCTTCATATTTTTATAAATAAATTGAAATAGAATTTTCAAAATTCACCAATTTATCCCAGTATTTAATTTTATTTCTAAAAAGTTGAGAAAAAGATTAATCATTTAACATCAATTAAATGCCCATTTGTTTTTCGTTAATTTCCCATTATTTTAAAATAAAACCCAAAATCACAATTAAAATATATTTTAATTATTTCCCTTTGTTTCCACACACTTCCATTTAGTAGATTTTTTCAAGTTACTAACAGTGACGAGGATATTGATGTTTAAGACAGTTCTTGCATTCTTGCCCATTTGGATCAACATGACATGGAGGTTCATTTGAAGGACCACTATGACATACAATATTGCCAGCCAAAAACAGTAAAGAAAATATTATTAAATAAATTGATTTCATAGAAAACATTTCTTCTTTTTTTGGGAATTTAAATTTAAATTTAAAATATTTTATTTTGAGAATAGGGGGTAAATTTAAATTGTTTAAATATACATTGAAATATATTGAGTCTATTTATTTACTCAATTGTAATCCATAATACTTAAATTCAAAAAAATTCTTTTTATGAGAAAGGGTTTTTGAATTTTCAAGTTGGAGAAGCTTTTCCCTTCATTTTTCATTTATGAGGGGTTATAATTGTTTAATTAACCGTTGAAAACGTGGATTAAATATTAAAATTAATTTTAAATTTATTTTCACGTGTTTTGGAAATAGAAAAAATAAATTTAAAAATTAAAAAAATTTTTTTAATTGTTGGCAAAATTGATTTAAATTTAATTCGATATTAAATATTTTATTAAGAAAAAAACTCTCAAAAAAGCTATTATAAAATTTAGTTAGGTAGTTCTTTTGTTGTACCTACGCTAACTAAAAGTTAAATTTTTAAATCTATTTTTATTAAATCATAAGAATATTTACTTGGAATTAGCGAAGACAACGATAAAAAATACAAAAAATAAAATAAAACTTCAAAAGTTATTCAGATATTCCAAATTTAATTAAATAACAGTCATAAGGAGGTATTATGTCAAAAACTTTAACTAAGACAATATCAATGAACTTTTTATTTTCCAATGAAAATTCACTATTTGAATATTTTCATAAATACAATAAAGGGTTCCGTGACTTTTGCGCCGAGCGAAAAATCAAAAATACAGAACTACCCCAAATTGATATTGATAAGTAGGGTTAGGATTTTTAAACACGCAGAACTTTGGTTTGTACCAAGATGTCTTTGATTGATAGTCCATAGACTCCATAGACTATCAATCGAAGACATCTTGGTACAAACCAAAGTTCTGCGTGTTTAAACCTAACAAATAATGTAATGATGTTAATTATTTTTGTTTATTTGCTGAACAATCCTTTATGAAAAAGTAGGTTGTATAAGAATAAATTTTAATGAACAGAAAAAGTTAAAAAATGGTAAATTAATAGTTAGAAATGAATTCTTTTTTGACCGGTGCAAAGCAAAAAAAAACTAGAATCTATTTGATCTGAATTATTTAGAAAGATGGGTATTTTAGAGCGATTATTCTTCCCTCTCTTGTACGAAGGAGGGATGGGACGGGTGGGACGGACTTTTTCTCGATACGGAATCCGAACTGAAAGATTTTCCAAAACCCGATCCAGCTTTTTCCCCTTTTAATACCCCTAGATTACCCAACCTGTTACCCGGACTTTTTTCCGACCCGAACCCGATGCCCGGGCTTTCTTCTCAACCCGTCCCATCCCTTGTACAAAGCCTACTGTTTTTAATCAACATTTTATTAGATCGAACTTTTTATTGCCTCTCTTCTCATGTTTTTGGTCATTACCGGTTTTAAAACACGCCAAGCAAGTAGTTAACCCAACGCCCCCGTCGTCAGGGACAGAGGGGTCCGCAACATTAATCCCTAATTAATTCCATGTAATTAGTACTCTAATTAGACACAACCTAAAGGTTTAGGAGCATCCGGTACCATCCCAAAGGGCCTTATCAAAGATAACTAATATAAGAATATGTAATTAATCCCTAATTAATTCCATGTAACTAGTCAACTAATTAAAGTCAACCTGAAGGTTTAGGGACATCCTGTATCAACCCAAAGGGTCTTATCAGTGATAACTGATAATAGAAAAAAGATGTACGTGTAATTACCATTATTTTCTCGTAATTAGTTCATTAATTAGGTTCAAGGTTTAAAGACATATGGTGCCAATCCTGTGACCTGTCAACCCAAAATGTTAAGGCACTTTCCCCCAAAAATTTTTAAAAATTATTTTTTCCTTTTCCTTACTTTTTCGCGCAGCGTGCGTGTAGTTTTCTTTTGAGTTTTTAGGTCATCTTGACCTAAAAACTTTTCCTTTCTTTAGATTTTTAAAAAAATTTCTTTTAATCTTCCTTTTGTATTTTTGTTCGCGCAGTGTGCGAACATTTCTTTATTTTTTAAAATTTTCCTTTTGTTTGAAAACTTTTCCCTTTTTCTTTTGTATTTTTTATTTTTTCTTAGGAATTTTTAAAAAATTTTAAGGTCACCTTAAAAATTTTCCTTTTTCTTTTGATTTCTTTAAAAATTATGGGTCATCTTAAAAATTTTTCTTTTGTATAAAATATTTAGGTCGTCATTACCTAGAAAATCTTGTAATGGATTAATAAATTTCCCTTTTGTTAAAAAATTTAATTAAATAACAGTCATAAGGAGGTATTATGTCAAAAACTTTAACTAAGACAATATCAATGAACTTTTTATTTTCCAATGAAAATTCACTATTTGAATATTTTCATAAATACAATAAAGGGTTCCGTGACTTTTGCGCCGAGCGAAAAATCAAAAATACAGAACTACCCCAAATTGATATTGATAAGTAGGGTTAGGATTTTTAAACACGCAGAACTTTGGTTTGTACCAAGATGTCTTTGATTGATAGTCCATAGACTCCATAGACTATCAATCGAAGACATCTTGGTACAAACCAAAGTTCTGCGTGTTTAAACCTAACAAATAATGTAATGATGTTAATTATTTTTGTTTATTTGCTGAACAATCCTTTATGAAAAAGTAGGTTGTATAAGAATAAATTTTAATGAACAGAAAAAGTTATCAATATAAAATTTGTAAAACTATTTTTCTTTGCATTTTTTCTTTTCATATAAAATCAAAATTTATATAAAATTTTGGTACTTTCCTGTTATGACGCAACACATTTAAATTTTTTTAAAAAAGCTAAAAATGTTCAAAAATAGTAATAATAAGCAAAAATTTTTTTTTGCGTCATAACAGGACAACAGTATCAAGAGGTAATTTAGATGGTTCCAACCAAGTATTGGGTCTTAAGCCTTTTGTTTTGTTGCAGGCGCGTGTTGTACACCGCCAAATAGGAATTTTTGTGCCATGCGAATTGCTGCTCTTTCCCGATCGGTATAATTTATGCGGAAGCATAGTGAATAGTGTTTCTTTTAATTTATGCGTGTGGGAAAAAATTTTATGCTTATTATTACTATTTTTGAACATTTTTAGCTTTTTTAAAAAAATTTAAATGTGTTGCGTCATAACAGGAAAGTACTCAAATTTTTAATAAAACTATTTTTTCATCAAGTATCCTTCTTTGTTAAAGCATCAATGGAATAATTTCCTGGTCCATGAACAAAAATAAGTAAAAGTCCCCCAATAACCGAAAAAGTTTGGAAAAAATCGAATCTTGCAAATTCTTTATAGGGGCTGTCTTTTGGCAATTTCCACCAGGCATTTAAATTAAAATTAATAAATAAAAGCCATAAAGCAAGTAAAAGTGATGCTTGAGTAGTTAACCCAACGCCCCCGTCGTCAGGGACAGAGGGGTCCGCAACATTAATCCCTAATTAATTCCATGTAATTAGTACTCTAATTAGACACAACCTAAAGGTTTAGGAGCATCCGGTACCATCCCAAAGGGCCTTATCAAAGATAACTAATATAAGAATATGTAATTAATCCCTAATTAATTCCATGTAACTAGTCAACTAATTAAAGTCAACCTGAAGGTTTAGGGACATCCTGTATCAACCCAAAGGGTCTTATCAGTGATAACTGATAATAGAAAAAAGATGTACGTGTAATTACCATTATTTTCTCGTAATTAGTTCATTAATTAGGTTCAAGGTTTAAAGACATATGGTGCCAATCCTGTGACCTGTCAACCCAAAATGTTAAGGCACTTTCCCCCAAAAATTTTTAAAAATTATTTTTTCCTTTTCCTTACTTTTTCGCGCAGCGTGCGTGTAGTTTTCTTTTGAGTTTTTAGGTCATCTTGACCTAAAAACTTTTCCTTTCTTTAGATTTTTAAAAAAATTTCTTTTAATCTTCCTTTTGTATTTTTGTTCGCGCAGTGTGCGAACATTTCTTTATTTTTTAAAATTTTCCTTTTGTTTGAAAACTTTTCCCTTTTTCTTTTGTATTTTTTATTTTTTCTTAGGAATTTTTAAAAAATTTTAAGGTCACCTTAAAAATTTTCCTTTTTCTTTTGATTTCTTTAAAAATTATGGGTCATCTTAAAAATTTTTCTTTTGTATAAAATATTTAGGTCGTCATTACCTAGAAAATCTTGTAATGGATTAATAAATTTCCCTTTTGTTAAAAAATTTCAACTTTTCTCTTCAATTAGGTCAGCTTGACCTAAAAATTTCTTTTGTGAACAAAAGATTAAAAAATTTAATAAATAAAATTTTTTCGATAGAAAAAAATAGAAGGATAAATAGTGAAAATAAAAATAAAGGTTAAAAAATGCTTTTGATGGAAAAAATATAAAAATGGAAATTAATAAAAATTAAAATATGTATTAGAAATAAATAGAGGTTAAGATAGGGAGAAATATTAAAAATATTGTACAGATTTCCTTCGTCTGCTCCAACCTATCACCATTGCCTACATTGCTGTCTTCTTGTGATAAAGTATTATTCTCTCGGCACCTTCATCTAGTCTATAAATGAATTTACCACATAATTTAGCCTTCCTATTACCTACATTGATTAATTGACCAACTAAAATTTTTAATTTTCATAAATTTTATTATTTTTACCAAAAATTAGGTCAATTTTTCAAGGTTATTATTAAAAATTTTAACCTAGTTAAGAAATTTCTTTAAAAATCCAACTGTGATTTATTTTGAAAATAACCTAAAATAGGTGGAGCCTCACCTGGTATAAAAGGCGATTAATTATGATCAGAAATATCATTCTGCTGTTCAACACCTACATCTTCGAGATCACATCAAAACTCCTTTTACTTTCAACTTTTTTTAAAAATGTTTCCTCCTCCACCCAAAAAATTTAAGAATTTTTCAATTTCCAATTTATTAGGTTCCCAAACTAATAACCCCTATGTGAAAAAGCTTGGTCACGAGACCAAGTTTAGCCGAAAATTTAATGCGTCCAAAGTCTCTACTAGGTACCTAATTTCTGACCTCCCCAATGACCCTGAATCCCTTTTAGCTGGGATTTTCCAAAATACAATAGACGAAGCTCTTGAAGAGAGTCGTCAATGGGGGGTTGAACCTGAACAACTAGGTTGTATTATTTCGAGTCAGAACCTCGACTCTGACGTTTGGATCCCGGTTCGTGAGATCACTCCCAATACTATTGATTCAATCCTGAATCAATTCCTAAAGGTCGCCCAGAGTAAGAAACAGGACAATGGTATGTTATGGGGGGCACCTTTTCAAGTCTCGGTTTCCACTATCCAAAGAAGTAACACCCCCCGTCGAGTGCACGGTCGTGGAAAAAATTCCTCCAAACAACTTAAAATTAATGACAACGCATTGATTAAAATTCGCAACAACGACAACTATTGCTTGTTCTACTCTCTTATTGCCACCTTTATTTATGCAACATATCTATGGCCCCGATGGAAATTTTACGACTACATACACAGTCGACGAGGGATGGCTAATTTATTCAAGAAGGATTCGATGGACCTGATGGAAAGTGTTGGTGCTCCCTTTGACCTGGACAGCTACGATGCAGAAGAATGGATACCCTCTGTGGTTGAATATTGGAATTTACTGAATAAAGGATGGTTTAAAGTTTTTATATTCGGGGATTTAGGGGAAAAGCCAATTTATAAATATGGACCCGATAATTTTGATATACCTATAATTTTGTTTTATAATAAAGAACACTTTGACGGGGTTCGTAGGGCTTGTGACCTTTTTGGCCAACCTTATTGTTTATCATGTGAAAGCGTCTATAATAGGAAATCAAACCATACAATTTCGTGTAAATCTAGATGTTCTAACTGTTCAAGGGTTGGCCCAGGGTTTCCATGTAAAAATTTAAATGATTTCTTTGAACATTGTAGTGGTTGTGGGAAAGAATTTAAAAATGAGAATTGTTTTACCCATCATATCACCTCCAATTTCTGTAGTTCCTCCAAAAAATGTGAAAAATGCGGGGTTATCTGGGATGTTAAGGATAATAATAGGAACGGAAGGGAGGGTCATATTTGCTCTGAGCGTTATTGTACCACCTGCGGTAGTTACCACGATCCTAAACGTGGGTGTTACATCAAGCCCCTGGTCATTAAACCCCCAAAGGCGTACCGAATCGTCGCCTTTGATTTTGAAACAATGCAATATCGTGAGGGGGATAAGGGTAAAATGCACGATGTTAACTTTATAGGGGTAAAGGTAAATTGTCCCGGGTGTATCACCAATGGACCTGCCCCTGATTGTAGTGTTTGTGGGGAACATAGGACTATTACTTTCTCTACGAGACCTTTCCAAAACACGCCTGTTGACAGTCAAAATGTCACAGAGAATCCCTTAGAAGAATTTGTGTCATGGATTATCGATTCTTCCGTGACAGACACGGTTGCTTTCTCACACTTTGGGGGTAGATTTGATATGGTATTAGTTTTTAAGGAATTGTTTCTTAAAGGGTTAACCCCAGACATGATTAAAAAAGGTAATAAACTATATGAAATGAAGGTAAAAGTTGGTAAAAAGAATTGGGTTATTTTTAGGGATACCTTTAATTTAATGCCCATGTCCCTTGCTTCCTTGGTCCCTGCCTTTGCACTTAGTGTAGAGGACAAACCCTTCTTTCCACACTTGGTAAATAGGCCGGAAAATTATGGTAAGGAAATTTTCCCGGTCAAGGATGACTATCTGGCTGATGGGATGATGCCCGAGAAAAGAGCTCAATTTGATAAATGGTTTGAACAAAACAAGGAAGACCCTTTCAATCTGGATGAGGCCTTGGCATCATATTGTACCAACGATGTGGAAATTCTTATGGCTGCTCTGGTTGCTTTTCGGCGCGAATTTTTGGAAGTGTCAAATGGATTGGATGTGCTGAGGGAGGCAATGACAATCGCCAGTGCTTGCATGAAACACTTTAGAACAAATCACCTGGCATCTCAACACCTTGGAATTGTTCCAGAGAAGGGCTACGACAACGCAGACAACCAGAGTTTGCTTGCTCTTCGATTCCTCAACTGGTACGCTGAGGAACACAATGTAAACATACGTAATGCTTATTCTAAAGAAGGGGAAAAGAGGTTTGGGAATTATAGGGTAGATGGTTGGATTGAAGAAAAGAAATTGGTTATTGAGGTCAATGGGTGTTGTTGGCATGGGTGTAGGAAATGTTTTCCAGATGATGAAATAAGACTTCCCAATGGGGTTTCTGCGGGTATTCAAAGGGAGAGGGATGAAAAGCGTTTAGAATTTATTGAAAGTTTTGGAGTAGAAGTGGAAGTTTATTGGGAGTGTGAAATAAGGGGGATGCTTTCAAGGGATAGGGTTATGAGATTAAAATTTAAAAATTATTTGGACAATGGACCGATCGATATTCGATCGGCCTTCTTTGGGGGGAGAACCGGACCATTAAAATTATTCCATAAAACGGGGGAGGGGCAAAAAATTTCCTACTATGATGTGACTTCCTTGTATCCGTTCATCAATATGACAACACGCTACCCAATTGGTCACCCTGATGTGCATATTCTGAACAATGACGTCAACTGGACTCAACCATCTGACAACACATTTGAATTGGCTCTTCTAAAAGTTTTTGTAATACCACCACGCAGCATCGACATACCAGTTCTACCTATGAAAATTGGAGACGATGACGAAAGACTTCTATTCCCCCTTTGCTCCACTTGTGCAAAAGAACATCCAAACGGGGATGTGAACGAGAACTACACATGCAAACACACAGACCAACAACGTGGATGGGTCTCAACATGTACATCAATTGAGTTGAACGAGGCATTGAAAGAAGGATACGTGGTCACCAAAGTCTTTAGAGTTTTGAAATTTAAAAAATTCGATGACAACCTCTTTCGTCCTTACATCCGTGAATTTATGGCACAGAAAATTCACGCAAGTGGCTTTGACAACGACATCAAAGATGACAAACATAAGGAAGAGAACTTCATCAAAGAGTGTAAAGAAAAGTTTGGGATCATCATCGACAGGGAGAAAATGAAGGTCAACAAAGGAAAGAGGACGCAAGCCAAATTATGCTTAAACAACTTATGGGGTCGCTTCTCTCTCCGTAACTTTGGATTGTCTCAATGTGTAGTTACGGATGACCCTGCTGTCTACACCAAATATTCAAACGACCCTTCACTAATTATCAACTTTTTTGAAGAATTAACAGATGATCTACTTTTAATTTCCTACACCAAAAAGAAGGAATTTGTAGAAGAACATGACTCATCAAATGTCATAATCTCCTTATGGACTACCTCAGCAGCGAGGATCCACTTGCTTCACGCCATGCAAAAGGTTGTGAGAACTCCTGGTTGCTCATTGCTCTACACTGACACCGACTCCTTAATATTTTCACACCCTACTGACAACTGCCCTCTTCAATTAGGTCCTCATCTGGGTCAATTCACAGATGAGTACCCGGACTTCAAAATTTTGGAATTTTGCTCTGGTGGCGCAAAACAATATGGCTTGAAGATGGAAAAGAAGGATGAGCCCAACAGTGAATCAGTCTACGTGCTCAAGGTGCGCGGAATGACTCTGAACTGGGATGCAATCAACAATCAAGGAATGCGGTATGAGACGTTTAAAGAAAAAGTTTTCAATTTCGCTGAAGGTGATTATGATCCCATTATTGTTTCTTACCCGAATTTTTTACGTCCATCTGTTAAAGATGGATCTGTTACCACTCTTCCCCTTAAGAAAATTTATAAGCCCTATGTCGGAAAGGGAGTAGTCCGCCCTTCCGATTTCTCTGTATTGGACTTTGGATATATTAATTTGTAAATTTTCCTAATTGGAGATGGAAAGTAGCCAGGGGTACGGGCACCCAAACTCTATACCAACCATCGTAATGTTGCGAGTCATACCACTCATTGACTTGTCGATGAATATCAAGTGTGTAATTCACATATTGTGTGGTAATCCTCGCATTGAAAATCGGTGGTAGCGGACTTGAGTAAATTCTCAAGTCCCTGGTTGAGTTTGGTGATGTCTGTCGAATGGCGAAGCCATTCTCCTTCCCTTTTTCTATTCACTATATTTTTCTATTTTAATTCATTATTTAATCATTATTGTATTTAATTTTTATTCGTGATAAAAATTTTATAATATGTTGTTTTAAAAATACAATATTAAGAAAAATTAGGATAAAATAAATTACAGAATTAAGAGAAATATGTTTACAATTTTAGGGGTAAAATTGCATAATTAAGGAAAAATGTTTACATTTTTTAAAAATACATTTACATAATTAAGTGTAAAGTGCAGAATTAATGGAAAGAACATTACAATTTTAGGGGTAAAATTGCGGAATTAAGGAAAAATATCACATTTTTATCATTTTTCAGTGTAAATAGGGGTACATACATGGGGGTGCATATACCTATAGAGTGCATAGATATCTAGCATTTATCCTGACTTAGGTCTCCTCTATAAATTTCATCATCTTCTTCCTTGCTCATAGATATTGTTGGGCTTCCAAGTGAGGAAATTGAATTTGTTTTTGATTTATCTTCTTGTAGTGTTAAACGTCCCATCTCTACTGCTAAACGATTTATCTTGTCCATGTGTTCTTCATCAACGAACTCCAATACTTCCAAAGGATAAAAACGATCCTTCTCTAACGGTCTGCGATCGATAACACAATTCAAATAAGGGTTGCGCAGACGAATACGATGCCTTGTGTAAAAATGTTGCGATATAGTAACATTATAATGACTCCTAAGACGTCCATAGGCGCGAATTCTATTTGCGCCTTTTCTTGTCAAACCTCCAAATAAAAAAGTTTTCCTCTGATAATCTTTGTTTAGATAGGTTGTTTGAACTTTACGATCCAAAAATTCTTTCAAACTCGTATACGAGTCTGAGGATTTACTAGATGTCCGCTTAGACTAAGAACTGAACATTCAAGGAAGCGCGCGATTTCATCGATTACGCGGACCATTTTTGAATAAAGAATTTAATAAAATGAAGAATGAAAAATTTGTTACAAGATATTTGGGTTTATATATGACTCCTCCGTACTTTTTTCATAACTGGTTATTAGCCCTATCTACACCTCAATGTGAAGTTAACCTATTTTTAGCACACACACATCAAAATTTGACTCATTCTTGGTAAATTGATTCAAAAAATTCAAGGTGTTAGGTGAGCTTGGCTTAATTATTATGGACTTACATCTTAAAATACAATTCATTACTAAAATTATTATTGTATTATATTTTTATTATTGATAAAAATTAAAATTTTTTTTATTTAATTTAAATAAATATTTAATTAAAAATATTTAAGGCATAATTACTTATTTGATTTTAATATCACTTTTTTTTTGCTCAGGTAAATCTAAATTAATTTTATTTAATTTATTATCTTTATATATATTGTTTCTGATAATCCTATTGTAATTTCACTAATTCCTCAACCAGAAGCAACAACAGACACATAAAATACATAGATGTAGGCGTTGTAGAGCAGACTTCTTTATTGGTTGGTTGGTAATTTAAAAAAAAATAAAAATTTATTCACAAGTTAAAAGTTAAAAGGTTTGACCTTCAGATGGTTCTCCTTTGCCAGAAACAAAAAATCTGTACAAGAAACATTTGAAGAACTGGATCAGTGTTTAGAACAATTAGAGGCATTTCAAATTTGTCCTTAGATTGTAGATAATAGATTTATATCTTCCTTAGCTGTAGACACCCAGGTGCACTATTTGATTTATCGGGGTGTCCACAAATTTATGAGACTGACACCCAGTCGCTTAGCTAGTATAGTTAATTACTCTAATTATTTATTTTCATGTAAATTACTAATTGGACTAAAAGGATTAGAGATAACAGATATCAACCTATACTCAAAGAAGTCAAGTGTAAATTTAACTACCTACTAAATAATTCCATAGAATTTGTACAATATTTAAATTAAGCCAAAGGTTTAGAGACTTCTCGTACTGACCAATGACGCGTCAATCCAAAAGGCTTAAGGGAATTTTTTAATTTTGATAGTTGAGGAAAAGGAGTCAATTAAATAGAATAATAATAAAATGGAAAAAATTAAAATTTTGGTCGAATACAGACAAACTTTTAATTTTTCCATTTTATTATTATTCTATTTAATTGACTCCTTTTCCTCAACTATCAAAATTAAAAAATTCCCTTAAGCCTTTTGGATTGACGCGTCATTGGTCAGTACGAGAAGTCTCTAAACCTTTGGCTTAATTTAAATATTGTACAAATTCTATGGAATTATTTAGTAGGTAGTTAAATTTACACTTGACTTCTTTGAGTATAGGTTGATATCTGTTATCTCTAATCCTTTTAGTCCAATTAGTAATTTACATGAAAATAAATAATTAGAGTAATTAACTATACTAGCTAAGCGACTGGGTGTCAGTCTCATAAATTTGTGGACACCCCGATAAATCAAATAGTGCACCTGGGTGTCTACAGCTAAGGAAGATATAAATCTATTATCTACAATCTAAGGACAAATTTGAAATGCCTCTAATTGTTCTAAACACTGATCCAGTTCTTCAAATGTTTCTTGTACAGATTTTTTGTTTCTGGCAAAGGAGAACCATCTGAAGGTCAAACCTTTTAACTTTTAACTTGTGAATAAATTTTTATTTTTTTTTAAATTACCAACCAACCAATAAAGAAGTCTGCTCTACAACGCCTACATCTATGTATTTTATGTGTCTGTTGTTGCTTCTGGTTGAGGAATTAGTGAAATTACAATAGGATTATCAGAAACAATATATATAAAGATAATAAATTAAATAAAATTAATTTAGATTTACCTGAGCAAAAAAAAAGTGATATTAAAATCAAATAAGTAATTATGCCTTAAATATTTTTAATTAAATATTTATTTAAATTAAATAAAAAAAATTTTAATTTTTATCAATAATAAAAATATAATACAATAATAATTTTAGTAATGAATTGTATTTTAAGATGTAAGTCCATAATAATTAAGCCAAGCTCACCTAACACCTTGAATTTTTTGAATCAATTTACCAAGAATGAGTCAAATTTTGATGTGTGTGTGCTAAAAATAGGTTAACTTCACATTGAGGTGTAGATAGGGCTAATAACCAGTTATGAAAAAAGTACGGAGGAGTCATATATAAACCCAAATATCTTGTAACAAATTTTTCATTCTTCATTTTATTAAATTCTTTATTCAAAAATGGTCCGCGTAATCGATGAAATCGCGCGCTTCCTTGAATGTTCAGTTCTTAGTCTAAGCGGACATCTAGTAAATCCTCAGACTCGTATACGAGTTTGAAAGAATTTTTG